CCTGCACCCCATCCCTACCAGAGCTCGCTCTGAGCCAGTGAGTGTCAGCAGACACTTAGAAGATGAGTAAATGCTAGCTTTGGAAAGTGGTGGAGCTGAATTTAAACGCCACATCTAACACAGGCTGTGTGGCCCAGGGCAAGTTCTTAATTTCTCTAAGGGGAGGAGATGCGAGCCCCATGGTGTGCACTGCTCTTTGGTGAATGGCTTGGACAAATGCCACCCTAGTGCCACTAGGTGCAGGTGGGAACTCACAGGCAGAAGAGCTCGAGGGGCCAGACGATCCCATGGCTGTGGACCTCCAGAAGGACCTCCCCGGCCCCCAACACCACTGTTCCTCATCACACAGACTCCAGGAGAATGGCTTTCTATGTCTGGAGAAGACCCTTCAGAGCCTGGATGTGGGCTGCTCAGGGGAGACTCAGACAAACAGCCTACAGCTGGATGACTGTGCTGAGAGCACCTGCAGTCTTTCTGGGGTGGGGGAAGCCCGCGGGCCCCGCTCATTCTGTGCCTGCAGCCCAAGAGCCAGCCGCAGGGCTTCTTCAGCAGACAGCTGTGTGGGCCTCTGTGCTCCTACAGAAATCGGTAATACTCAGGCGCGCACTTCGATGTGTGGTTAGGAATGAATCAGACAACGCCTGTGGAAAAACAGTATCTGACAGCTGGTTCCATAAATGACAGTTAACTAGTATCATGCTTGAGCAATGAAGACTCTGCAACGCTGATGCTGAGAACTGGGGGAGAGTGTGGGTAAGGACATGGTCTAACTGAGGAGTTAGCAGGATCACACACCCAACCCATCCTTGGGCTGTTTTCAGGTTATCTGTGGGAGTAGTTTTTCCATTGTGTTTATTATTTTCTTCTCTTTCAATAATAATCTAAAATTTAGCAACAACTACTGCCACATGGAGTCACCATGAGTCAGGATCAACCTGAGGTACCCAACAACATCAACAAACTTGACATTGAATTCCATCATACCGCTTTGCTATATGTGTTTATTTTCAATTTACAATCACATTGGCTCCCAACACCGCTACTTCAGTCATGGTCAATGGACAAAAGGAAACGGACTCAGTACAGCAAGGTGCTCACAGCAGATTCGGTACAAAACAATGTGCCACAAGGCTGCAGACCAAGAAAGGTGGGGAGAGATCTGACTTATCATTGGGCACGTGGAGGGAGAGAACTCAAAGGAATCTGCACCTTACCTGTCACTACCATACGGGAATTCTGATTCTGGTTTAGTTTCAGCAAAACACTGTCTGTAGTCCTGTTAAACTAATGGTTAAACTAATGGTGAGTATATATTAGCTTGGATACATATTAGGTGTGTACTATTGGGCAAAAGGCTTAATTTTTCTAAGATGATGTTTCTCCTCTGCTATCTGAGTGGTTGTAGGGATTAAATTAGAATGTGCCCGCAAAGAACTGTATCTGACCTGCAGTCTGTGCTCAGTGGCTGCTGGCTGGTGTTATGCTGTGATAAATAAGATGCATGGTAGATAACATAGGTAGAGAATGTAACTGGAAGTATGGTACACCTAGAATTTGGTTCGCTTTACTAACTCGTCATCATGTGGAGTGCTTTGCTAAAACTCTGCTATCCAAAGACAAGGCTATGCAAGTCATTTGTTCCAGAATCTTAACCTGAGGATGGATTTTTATTTGTTTATGAATCATTGTATTCAAGTGTGACAAAGACAAAGGGAAGAACAAACGCAGAGCAGAAACCCCCAGGCTGCACTGTTGGGCAGATGCTGAGAAAAAAGCCACCCACAGGCTCATCCCTGTGGTTCAACAACTGGAGGGAGTATGATCATGAACTTGGGATGATCATGAACAAGTGGATTCTGGAGTCTAGCAAACCTGTCTGCAAGCCCTGTTCTGTCACTTCCTGTCTATGTGGCTTGGGCAGGTCAACCTCTCTAAGATTCTGTTTCTTCACTTGCAAAATAAGGAAACCGTCTTAAGTATCCGATAATATTTACTTAGGCAATTGTGAGGAAAGGAGCTGTGGTGGGACAGTGGTTAAAGCATTTAGCTGCTAACCAGAAGGCTGGTGGTTCAAACCTACCAGCCACTCCACAAGAGAAAGATGAGGCAATCTGCTTCTGTAAAGATTTACAACCTTGGAAACTCTGTGGGGGTAGTTCTACTCTGTCCCACAGGTCTTTGTGAATCAACTTGATCGCAGTGGATTTTGTTATTTTGAGGAATCATAAACTGCTTAGCAGTGGCAAGTACATAATAACAAGCACTCAAGCAAAATTCACTACTCCTAGAATTACAAAAATTAATACTATTGCCATTAATATTAGTGCTTTTGCAATATTACTGATATTAATACTATTATTGTTACTTGCAGGCCCCAGATAAAAACAGAAGTTTTGCCAAGTACGTGTGTTGGTGCAGGTGGGCACTGAAAACTTGAGTAAATACACAAGGAGACCTGTGTAATCTGCAAAAACCAGTTGCCATTGAGTCAATTCTGACACATGGTGACACATGCTGTCACAGCAGATCTCTCCTCACAGTAGAATATCAAGGCTTCCAATGGTTTCTTTCTTGGAAACGGGTCACTAGGACTTTCTTCTGAGGAGCTTCTGTGGTTGTTGGTGTTGTTGCTACGTTGTATCGAGTCGACTCTGACTCATAGTGACGCTGTGAACAACAGAATGAAACACTGTTCGGTTGTGTGCCATCCTCACAATCATTGCTATGCCCGAGCCCATCACTGCAGCCACTGCGTCACTCCACCTTGTTGAGGGCCTTCCCCTTTTTGGCTGAGCCTCCACTTTACCAAGCATGATGTCCTTCTCCAGAAGGGAACGGTCCCTTCTGACAACATGACCACAGTAGGTGAGACGAAGTCTGGCCATTCCTGCTTCCAAGGAGCATTCTGGCTGCACTTCTTCCAGGACAGATTTGTTCGTCCTTCTAGTAGTCCACAGTGTTTTCAGTATTCTTTGCCAACACCATAATCCAAAGGCATCAACTCTTCTTCAGTCTTCCTCATTCGTTGTCCAGCTTTCACATGCATATTAGGCAACTGAAAACACCATGGCTTGGGTCAGGTGCACCTTAGTCTTCAAAGCGACGTCTACAACCTCTAGCTGGACTCAAACTTCCAACTGTTTGGTTAGCAGCTGAGCTCATTAACCATCGGCACCACCCAGGGACTCCTGCACCACTTACGGGGCATTGTTGATCTCTTCTGACTCAGTTTAGACAACTTCACCAAGAGGCTTGACATCTTTATGACACGATTGCCTTTTAGGTAAATAAAGTAAACCAGAACTACTTAGTTCACATCACAGAGTGATAAAATACATGTGAGAATAGCTCTCGTGGTTAAAACAAGCGTTTACTGAAGGAAGGATGGTGTTGGGGAATTGCACAGTCCTGGGTACTTTTCCTGATTCTTCTGAGTACTGGATGTGAGATGCTGAGCAAATTACTGAATCTCTGCAAACCTCAGTCAGCTCATCTGCTAATTGTGGCTCATATTAACTAACTCATTGTTCTATAATAAAAGAGCATCCTGCAGGGTGATGTGGCTTGAGGTGGACTATCAATAACTCTTAGGTCCCTTCCCCACAAAAAGATATAATAAAATGCTTCATTAAAAGGAGACTAAGTGAAATCTGTGGTTTCTGTCTTTTTATGTGACAGTATTTCAAACAAATTTTATATTCTGGCAGAGCTCTTTACCTTTCCTATTAATTTATGCTGAGGGCACAGCAGATTTAGAAGTGAATTGCATGGCATATTATTTTTAGGCTAGAGAGAACAACATTCTTTGGTTTCATAACAGATGGCTGGTTGAACTAAATGGAATAGTGTCTCTTTTATTGAATTCAGGGCACCTAAATGAAAAGCTATCAAATACAATCCATGGAGGGAAAGCTTTGATGTTTGACGGTTAGTACCTAGTCAATGATGTTAAAACCCACTGCCGCCTAGTTGATTCTGACTCATGGTGATTCTGACGCATGGCAGCCCCATGCATCAGACTAGAACTGACCTCTATAGGGTTGTCTGAGCTGTAATTTTTACAGAAGCAGACCTCCAGACCTTTCTTCCATGGGGCCACTGGGTGGGTTTGAACCACCAACTTTCAATTAGTAGTCGAGGACAAACTGTTTGTGCCATGTTGGGAACTTATGTCAATATAGCCTCTCCTCACGTATCATCAGGTTGCATAGACCAGGTCATTATGTGAAAGTCAGCATTATCCAAAAATGGAGGATGACCACAGCAGATCACAAAATGGAGGATGACTGTATCAATACATATCTGCCAAATTACATCATTATGTAACTGCCAAGCCACTAAGAATCACAGCCCAGCCAAGTGGACATATAACCTTAACCACCGCAGTCAGCATTACTCTTGCCCAGCACCCTGGCATTCACTACTGCCAGACATACATTGTTAACACACAAAATAGGCAGTAGATCATTTACTATTGTCATGAATGCAAAATGCTGGATAACAAGACAACTGATTAATAAGGAGTAGGTGTAATATTAGGTTTGAATAAATACATTCACATATATTTACAAACATCTATCCATCTATCTAGGAGCTCTGGTAGCATAGTGCCTAAGGTACTTGACTGCTAACCAGAAGGCTGGCGGTTCAAACCCACCAGCCACTCCTTGGAAGGAAGATGGGGCAATCTACTTCCGTAGTGATACTGCCTTGGAAACCCAAGGAGGGGTCGCTATGAGTTGGGTCTGACTTGACAGCACGTAACAACAACATCTATCCATCTATCTATCCATCCAGTGCTTCTAGCTGCAAATTGAGCCAAGAGGCTGAAATCTAAAGTCAATATTGACACACACACACAACAGAAAGATTTCCCCCAAAAAAAAATCATTTCTGTTTTTATATCTCTTTACATAACTAAAAAGTCAATGTCAGTTTGCAGTTTGGCTTTTAAAACACCTCCTTTGAGAACTATTTCAGTGGGTTGAATAAACACTTACTATATGCACAGCCAAACACCTCGATCCGCATTCCAATTCTGCCCTTGGGGTTCCACTCCAAAGGGATGAAGCGCAGAAATTTGGCTTTGATAGAAGGCTGGAGTCTGTAGTACACAACGCTGTCTGCATTTGTATTTCCTGAAAATCCCTAGAATAAAAAGAGAAGAAGGAAATCAGAGTGTTGACAGTACATCCATCTCACCTTGTCACCTCTAAGGTCCACAAGCAAGGTCTAGTTCACATTTTTTTTTTTTTTTTTGCCATGAACATGGCTGCCTTCTTTAAGAAAATCTTATTTACAGTTAAGACATAACATGTCTCCATCTGCAGAAGCTACTGGTCCCTAATTTTTCGATTAGGAGTAGTTTAAATTCCACGATCCTCACTACACTGGCTTTCAACTATGATATTCTCAATAAAGTTTACTTCTGTAAAGTTCAGATTAAACTTAACTGCACCACATCTAGGTATTAACACTGAGTAGCACAAATTGAGAAAATATTCTCCCAGCATTCAAAAATTATTATATTATTCTGCAAAGAGGTTGTGTACATTACTGATGCATGCATAACGTTATAGCACATTTCTGTTGTTTCGCTTTCTTGTCTTATTCGTTAACATAAATGAAAATATCACCCAACATCCACACTCTGATAAACTTCACTGGCACACTGCTGGATACCCATGTTCACAAAACAAGTGGAGGGAAACTGGAAACAATAATAATTTGGGAAGACCTCTACAGACTGAACGAGTATGGTGTTGTGGTGGTTAAGGCATTTGGCTGCTAAACAAAAGGTCAGTGGTTGAAAACCACCAGATGCTCTGTAGAAAAAAGATACGGCAGTCTGCTTCCACAAAGATTAGCCTTGGAAACCCAATGTGGGTCACTATCAGTAGGAAATGGCTCGATGGAAGTGAGTTTGGTTTCTTGTTTCTATAGACTTACAGACTATAGAATTTAGAAGCTACAGTGACCTTGGGGATAATGCTACACCAGCAAAGTCAAATCACAGGTGAGGAAATGAAAGGTCAGAGAAGTGGAAAGAGCTTCTGGAGCTTGCAGAACAACCATACGGCACAGCCGAGATTGACATTCCTCCCATGTATCTACTCAACACAGAGCCCACCTGCAAGGTGCACCCGATACAGCACATACCACCTGAGCAACTATGGTTTGCTCCTGATGACTTACATGGGCCTTCGCACAGTGAGAAGCCAGAATGAAGCAGAAGTTATTTTCAATGACTTTAATTTCATTTTCCTTTATTCCTTTTCTTTCTTCTTTTTGAAATGGTAACTATCAGCACGTGTAGGGATGGGAAAAGAACTCATGCTGCTACGTGTGCAAATCTCTGCATGGTCTGCAGCGTCTTTGCATTTCAGGACTTGGGTAAAATATTACCAGTAAAGACAGACCCCTTGTGATCATGACTTCTGAGGTACTACCTGGCACTCCCCGTCCTACTGACCTGCTTGATTTTCTTCATGTTCCTCGTTATCTTTTTGGTGCTCTCTTATTTATTTTTGCTTGTTTCCCTGGTCCCATTAGAATACAAGCTCCACTAAACCAGGCGCATTGACAGATTTCAATTCATAAATACCTACACCACTGCTTGGCTTAAAGCAGTACTGAATAAGGTATGTGTTGGATGTCTGAATCTGGGAGAAGCTAGGCTTAAAAACAAAACAAAAAAGTTAAACAGGCTTCTCAAACAGGACAGAGCACAATCAGAACATTGTTTAATCCCCCAGAAAGTTCCAGAAAATTCCAGTCTGTTTCAGGTGTCAAATTTTCATACTGACAGTTTGGTAAGAGAGGTTAACTGTATTGGACATGGCACTACTCAACTTATACCTCCACACCACCACTAGAACACCACAGTCTCCATGTCTGTGGAAATGATGAACACCTGCTAAAATGGGGATGTCCATTTATTCCAATTATTTTCTTAAAATGGCAAGGAAGCTTCATGTACAGCAGTGTTTCCCAACCTTGGACTGCACATTAGGCTCCCAGTGGTAATTGTGTGAGTGTGCACACACGTGTGTGTGTGTGTCTGTATAAGCTCCCCAAGTCCAGATAGGGTGCAGCCAAGGTTGAGAACCTGGTCTCCAGACAGTCAATCCTAATCAGACTTCTTCTCCTTTTCATTCTGCTTTCCTGGGTGCCACCGGCAGGCTAATATGATCCCTAATCATGATTTCTTGCCGAGTGAACAGCCAGATGATTACTGAGATAGCCCTCTGAAAGATCCCATATTTTTCCAAATTAACGTGAGTTTGTAGATTTAGATAGATGCCACTATGATGATCTTAGCACCTTAAAGAATTGGGAGATAGATGTATAGTGACAGTGACAACAGATGGGAATATGGAATGGGGCAGTCTGAGAATGGCAACTTTTCCCTTTCTGCCTGACCTATTTTTGAGCTATCTGAATGCCGGAGAACATAAAGAAGAAATATAAGATACATATTTTGTATTAGTAATGAAGATATATTTGTAGACACATTCCAAATTTTTCATAGCCATTTCTTCCAAAGGGTGTTTTTGGGGAAGTGGTGAGGAAAGGGATATGAGACTTGACTTAACGTATTTCAGTCATATTTTGATTTTTAAATGAACATGCATTAATCTTACAATAATTAGTAAAATAAAGTAAAACTTAGACATAGAAAGTGTGTGTGGTGACAGAGTAGGCAGGAGCTTCATTTAGTGCCATTCCGGACATCTTGGAAAAAACGTTCTTGTATCATTTGGGAAAATATGGACCATTTCCCCTACCCCAAATATCAGAAACATGGGATTCGTCCTGACAGTTAGCTGCACACAGACGTCAAATGCACGTTAGTAACATCTTGTTGAATGGAAATCAGCTCTTTATTTTACAATGCCTGTTAATTAAATAAGTTGAACTGCAAGTTATTTATTTGCATTTCTTTTTTGTTCCACGTGTTGAAATACTGTGTGTGGAATACATATGATAACAACCAAAGATTCTGCTTTGGATTTCAACAGTTGATGAGAAGATTTTTTTTTTTTAGAATGTCTGTGAATGAGGCATGGGACCACTGCTGTCATGCTTCATAAATGAAAAGTCCGATGCACACTATTAAGTTTCAATTGTATTCTGTCACCTAGGAGATTTTTCACAGTTTTCTACACAGATCTTTATATATATATATATATATATATATATCTCATAACATTTCAAAAAGAAATGCATGAATGAAAATGCTCTCCCTCTCTTTGGTTAAACAATTGGATTACATGAGCATGCATGTCTTCCCTTATATTACACACTCTGAATTTTCATGTGTATCAAAATCTGTGAGTGGGGCCCTAGTATCTGCATTTCTAATATGCACCTAGCTAATTTTGTGCTTTTAATTTTTGGCTTCTCCTGTATACTGGTTATATCCCCTTCCTTCTTTCTTTCTTCCTATTTTATTTCAAAACTCTTCAGACAGGAAAATGATTTTAGGAAAAGAGTTCATTGGGGTTGATGTCCAAAGAGAGAAATAAGTAGCAAATCAAGTCTACGCTGTCAATAGAAATGTCTTCAACGTTTTGATAGTTTGTGGCTCGACTCAGGTGCCACACTTGTGTGTAACATAGCTTTAATGTTTGTATTGCCCTTGTGAAGAGGTTATCACTGTACCCACTTTAAACCAAAGCACAAACCAGTTGCTATTGAGTGGCCTCTGACTCACAATAACCCCAATATGTATCAGAGTAGAACCATGCTCTAAACAGTTATCAATGGCTGATTTGGGGCAGGGACAGTATCAGGCTTTTCCTCTGAGCCACATCTGCATGGCCTGGAGCTTCTGACCTTCCTACTGGCAGTCCATTGCACTAACAACTTGCAACACCCAGGGATTCCATACCCACTTCACAGCTGCAGAAAATGAAGGCTACAGAGGTTAAGGTACGTGTAGAAAGCCACACAGCTGGAAACAGCAGAGAGGATTTCACTCAGGGTCTCTCTGACTCCCAAGCCTGTAAGTTATCCAAGCCACCCAAAGATCTCACTGTAACAGAACATGAAAGCAAACAGACTGCCCAGGAGGGAACTTGATATTTTATCTGAAGCTTTTTCTCTTATAATTTATATTTAAATTATTTTACACATTTGAGAATAATGTAACTTAGATTATTGCTGAACCAGGACTCAGCTCTACAAATTGACTTTTATAGAAAAAAGGATTACTCTATTAAGCTTTACATTTTCTCAAAATTATTGATGTAGAAAAGGAGAAGACAAATGTTCAATAAGCAATAGAATTCCTGTATATAAATAGTAACCTAATAGATATGGAATTTAAAGAGATTTGTCATCTTATCATCACATATATAAAATACCTAGAAGTGAAATTAAGGCCATGTGTCTTATTGATAAAAATCTCTAAGTCTTAATTGGATTTTTCTTTTCTCTTAGATTTGATGAATTTCAAACTCAATGAGGTGTTCCTGTATGTATAGAAATGTATTCTAACCACGTTAAGTTGTGGAGTTAATGAATTAAATTTTTGACACAGTTTTAAGTATTTACAAAGTGATTTTAAAGTTTATGAGCAGGAGTAATAGCATTCATTTCTTGTTCAAACATTCCCTGAGCAACTCACATATGTAAGCTGAGATGGACAAAGGGAGATAGACGCTCAGCTGGCAGCCCACCAGGGGCTCTGAAGCATCACTGGAGTGAAGCCGAAGCACGGGGCCAGGCATATGGGGTTAACACAGCACAGCCCGTAATTATACAGAAGTCTGTCCAGCAAAATACACAGCAGCCCTCATGGAAATGCAACAAAACAGACAGGCAAACATGAAGGTCCCCTTGTCACTGCTGACCTCTCTTATTATGAGAAGTCTAGTCACTTACATATGACTTACATACGACCAATTGTCAAGAACAACTCATTTTGGCAGTCAGCTGACATACAGATAGCAAATATATCACATCAACAGGCTGTCTTTATTTCATGATGCCTGCCACAGAACTTTACCAAATGTGTCTTCTGAGATGTTATCCAGCCCAGAAAAGAACAACAGAAAGGCACAGAAAAAGCAGTTACTACCAAAAAGTAGGAAATGGTTTCTAACATAAACCTAGATGTTGTTGTTGTTGTTGTTAGGTGCCAT